ACGGACATTTTCTCGACACAATTCCCATTCATACAAGATTCACATGGTTGCTGAAATCCAAACTAGGAATGTTGTACACACACACAACAATAAAGCACATTGAGAAAAAACAGGTAGGAAGAACATACTTTCCAGAAGTGTTCCCGCATCCAAGTTACTGAACACAAATATTTAGTTGGAGTCAATGTTATCTTACCTGCTGCTTGTACAGAGACAGAGGAACATAGGCCGCCTCCTTCCTGAAATGGTGAGAGACATGATTACAGTCACAAAGACCAAACTCAGAACCTCACGTTAATGGGCCACGAGCATGCGAACTTGAATCCCATATGCGCCAAAGAAGGCAAAGAACATACAAGAGATGATTTGAAACAATAACACACAGATAGCGAGGGCAAAATCAAGTGGCAAAACCTAGGCACGAACTAATTTTAACCACATAACGCACATTGTTCGAGTCTCGCACATTGCTTTTTTACTAAAGTGATGATGCAATCAGTAATCAAACAATAAAGCACACACAGCTTGCTAACGGGAGTTGTGAAAAACATACTCAACTTCTCCATAATATTCCCAATCTGTTTAGCTTGCAATCACAGTAGCTTGTGTCATGCTAATCACTCGAACTATATGCTCTCCTTACTGAAATCTGAACTGCAAGAAGAAAAAAGAAACATATCGAATTTGGTAGGGAAAAAGAGCCATTATGTATACTACTTGTGATTAATGGACGAGAGAGAATATTCATAGGAAGAATTCTGCTTATTTGCAACCCACCATTTATCACTATGAATACTACTTGTGATTACCAAAGAAGAATTCTTGGACAACTTTATTAGTACTATACTTGCATGGACTCATTGCCCCAACTTAATGAAATTTAATGAGATTATACAGATAGTCTGCAATTCTATCAGCTTTGCTTGTCACAAGCTTGGGATCTTCCTCTTTTTCCTCCTTATCTCGAGCCTTCGCCTTAGAAACAAGCCTACCATCTAAAAGCTGCTCCTAAACAATTTGCCGAGGCTATCAAATCATCTAGTACAATAACAAAGAATATTATCGCTTATCTAGCTCACCAAACGTATCCACATATGTAGAGCTACTATCGCACCACTATATGCACTTTGTAATAAATGGTCTCGAATCATATGGAAATATTGTTCTTAATGAACAAATAGTAGCAACATGAAATGTCAAGAACCTATGTGCACTATCTCGCTACCTATGTGCACTAACCTAATGTCGAAGAAATATTTGAATCTTCAGATATCACGAAAAATAGAGCCATGGAATGCGAGATCAACAGGAACTCGTCGATTTGACTCGAGGAACGGAACGGATGGGGCGTGCTTTTTACAAATGCATAATCGCCTTGCGTTAAATTTGACTAGGAGAACGGGTGGAAACAAACCAAAATCAGGTGGAACTAGGAACTAGAGCAATCCCTTACCTGGAGCCGGCTCATCGGCTTGTGCGAGAACGCAGAGTAGGTAGAAGCCCCTTACCTCTAGAGCCGGTGAAGGAAGAGGACGGAGGAGAAGGGGGCTAAGGAAGAGGAGGTAGATGCCCCAACGGCCCAACCAACCAGCTCTCAGCACCGGGACGCCCTCACAGCAGCTCAGGCCGCCAATCCCACGGATCCAAATTGCTAGGACCTCGATCCGGTCACCACCGCATGGATCGAGCTGCCACCATGCTTGCGGACCCTAGATCCGGTCATCACCACTGCTGAAACAAATGCCCGGGGGGGAGGCTGCCTGACCACCACCACCGGATCCGGCCGACGAGCATGCCGATCCGGCCACCCCGGCGCTGAAACGGCAGACAGCCACAACGAAGCAGGTCGACAGATCAAACTGCAGTCACCGAGAGGAGGAGGGAGAAAGAGGATGCAAGAGAGCAGCCGTCGCCGCGCCCCTGCGGCGCAAGGGGGAGGGGCGCGAGGGGGGAGAGGCGTGGAGGAAGAGGAGGGCGGCTGTGGCGTCCATTGCCCGCTCCGCCACGCCACCACACACCTTGGCATTGCTTCAAGTCGGGAGGGAGAGCGAGAGGAGAGAGAGAGAGAGAGAGGAAGGGAAGAGAAGTGGAGAATATTTTTTTTACTGTGCTCTACAATATATAGTCAGAGGCATTTGTAGGGGCGGCTGATGATTAAGCCGCCCCTACAAATAGAAACACCGGGGGCGGCTGGTGAGTGAGCCGCCCCTATAAATCAGACTCATTTGTAGGGGCGATTCGTATCACCAGCCGCCCCTGCTGTTCCATTTGTAGGGGCGACTGGTCTCTGGGCTTCCGAGCATGTCACTGTAGGGGCGGCTCCAACACCAGCCGCCCCTAAAAAAAATTTGTCCCGTTGCTACAAACCATTTTTCACGTAGTGTGTATAACAAGGGGACACCGTATTCTCCCACATCTCCAAACGTGACGTGTGTATCATCTGTGCAACGAGTAACCATGGCCACTGCAGGGCCGTGCCGTCAGATCTATAGGCCCAGTATACGAAGCTCTAAGTGGAAGTACCAAATATAGCCAAAATAATGTATATACTGCAGAGCAAATACGATCTATCAAGAATAGTACCTTTGAACTCTTGGTTTGCATAACCTTTACTAAATAACATCATTCTCTTAGTTTTTTTTGAGGGAACAACATCATTCTCTTAGTCTTCTTTGAAATAAAATCTTCAATAATTTGCTCATAATTAATCTTCTCCAGCAATCCACTCTCAAGTGCTATCGTAGCCAAACTATTAAGTCTTTCTTGTGTCATAGTAGAACGCAAGTATGACTTCAATAGCTTCAACTTAGAAAAGCTCTGGCTCCGCTGATGCAACAGTGAACAGGAATGGTCAATAACATTCTATATGCAATAGCTGCATTGGGAAAATAATATGCTATAGAAGACATGGCTTCAAAAGATGAGAAGAATAAAGTTAAGATTATACAAGCAGTTCTAGACTTTCATACGAAGGATTTAATTAGTAGTTTAGTACAATACAGATGGAATTGGAAAAAAAAATACCTGCACTCGGCCTCCACCTCGGCCCTCTCCCTGTCATTGGTGCCTGCTTGCTAGATGAACGGACGGGCGCCGGCAGGGGCCAGAGACGAGATGAGCACGAAGCATCGCGCCGTCGCCACTCACACGAAGTCGCCACGAAGGCTGCGGACTTGTAGAGACGAGCGCGCGGACTTCGTGTGAGTGGCCCTGTATGGTCGTACGGGTTGCACGCCCATGCATGGGCACGGCCCTGGGCCACTGCATGCAGTTTTATCCCTACAACGTTAGGGAACGTACAACATTCAGACAGTCTGCTGTCTGGGAGATTTTTTTACCTCAACAACACATAATAGCTTAATAGATAGCTTGTACTATGAGCTGTCTATTTGAGTTGCTGCAAATCGTCTAATGCTTGTGTGTAGCCATGATCAAGTATATTTATAATTGATGTATACATTGTGTTGCTTCTTTATACAAAACAGATCGAGTCTACCGTTGTGTTGTTTCTTAGTAGTTTTTGCTAGGTAAAGATGCATCAACACATTGTCGACACAGCACTAAAATAGTCTTTACACAATGTTATCATTCAACTTTTGCAGCCCAGTTTGAGTAGTTTTCGCATACAAACTTGTCTAAGTTCAAAAGGAAAAAAAAAAGAAATTTGAGATGCCTATTTTATATTTAGCCAACCGAGTTGACAAAATTTTGAGCATCAACAGATTCAAAGTTGCCTAAAACCAAATATTTGCTGAACTTCGGAGCTAAACATCGAAAACAGTGTTTTTTCTCCAAATATTGAGCTCCAAGGTCTTGCAACCCACCGGTTATTTGATTCTAGTATCTAAACAAGATTCGTAGACCTTCTGGTGAAGGCTGTGTCGGACCGTCCGGTGCTTGCTTTTTTGTTGGGATGACCTTGAAGAACTGGTGCAAGAGGATCCCCATGAGGGCTGGTGCACTTAGGGTTCTTCTAGAATCGGCAAGGCTACCTAGAATGCCTTAATTAAGCCACCTAGAATACCTTAAGTCGCCGTAGAGACGAAGATAAAATAATAGATTGGGGTTTGGTAGACCTAGGATTTAGAAAAGGTAAAAACTATAAATCGGTTTTGTATTTTGATTGACTGCATACCTCGTAGAGACGAAGAGAAAATAATAGATTGGGGTTTGGTAGACCTAGGATTTAGAAAAGGTAAAAATTATAGATCGGTTTTGTATTTTGATTGACTGCATACCTCAATCGGTGGCCCTCTGTATTTACTAGCAAACATGTCCGTACGTTGTAACATAATTTACATCTTGCATCATGTATTCTGATCATTTTCGGAACCAGACTACACACCATTGTTGGATGTGCACTATTATATTCTAATTCATATGAATATAGGTCATGAATTCAGTTCACCAACAAGATAATAAACCAATTAAGATTCTACTTTCTAATTCATCGTATGCAACTGCTATTAGTAAAACACCATCCATGACTCTTATGCTCTAGACATTGGGGGCACAGAGAGAGAGAGAGAGAGAGACCAAAGTTTGGAGGAATAATTTTTTTCTCTTTAATATTAGGTATAGATATAGATAGACAGGGTGGGAGCTCTATCCCTAGGATAGAGTCCAAATACATCATGAAAACTAACCCGAATCAAACATGAAAATTGAGTCCTTCTCAGACTCGCTTTAGATTAGCTGCGCGGGACATGTCCAACATCATGCCTCTGGTTTTGCAGTTTACAGACTACTGTCCAATTGATTGTTCACCGGATTTAAAACAAAGGTATGTCGCATTAGTTTACCCTAAATCAAACATTTCTATCTTTGACCATTAATTTTTTAAGAAAAAATGCATATAGTTTCAAAAGTATTATGTTGTTAATATATATACAATTTTTTAAATTGATGATCAAAGATAAAAATGTTTGTATGATATATCTAATATGACATGTAATTCAATAGGGGCCGGGGGAGAAGTATATAATATGCTGCACTGCACATTACAGGGCGTAGTCACAGAAGCCGTTGCTGCACTTCTTGTTGCAGCGGTTACCACATGTGCCACAGTTGTCCTCGTCCGAGAGCAGATCGACGCAGCGGCCGCCGCAGCACGTGCTACGATCGTGCTTGCAGAGCTTGTTGCAGCGGCCGCAGTGGTCGGCGCTGGCTGCCGTGTCCACGCACTGCCCGCCGCAGCACGTCGGGCCCGGGCTTCCCGGAGCGAAGCACACGGCGGCCGACTTCTTGGAGCAAGCGCCGTACGATGGTGTCAGCGGCGGCGAGTTGTAGACCGCGCTATTGGCAAGCAGGAACCGGCTCCTCCTGGCAGCTTGTTGGCGACCTGCCGGGATGGTCGTGGTTGCGCCGGCATCGGAGACCGTGCCTGCTGCTGCGGCGGCGAGTAATGTGAGCAGGACGATGACCGTGACGGTGAGTTTCGCCATGGAAGGGACGACGACTTCTATACTTTGCCTGTCGCCGGTGAGTGACGACGGTGAGTTGTGTGTTGGGAATGTCTTAGAAAGAGGCGCATATATAGAAGTGAAAGTGATTGTTGACTTTTGATGAGATTTGGAGTTCACTTCACAGCAAGAGTTGACTTGTGATGATGAAATCTGGGGTTGACTTCTCATGAGATTTGCTGCGGTTGGGTGCAATTATATTCTCATGATGAATTTACGGCCGCCCTCACATGCATGCATGCCATATGCTTCAAATCACGGGGATGCATGCATGTATCGACAGAAAACAGAACAAAATATGAAGCTCCAGCGTACGTGGAATGCATCGAGTGATGCCTTCCATTTGACACCCACAAATCACGACAGGAGATAGCTTAGTTACCTGCTGCAAACTGCATGCATGTGCATGCCATATTGCACATGATTCATCGTACAAATAGTGAGGATATTCCCCCAGATTCGTGGGGTCGACAACGACGTGGAAATTAAGCAAACATATATTACGTTAATGCTTGGAAGCGGGCGTCTGTCAACCTGGAGGCTCCGTCGGTGAGCCGTGATGCCAGCCCAACGACCTCCTCCTATCCTCGTCTATTTCTCAAAAAAAATCCGCTCGTCCACTCGCTCCTATCCGCTCGACTGCCGCCTCTGAGGCATGGGGCTCAGCCGCTAGCCCTGCCAGGCGCGGCGCGTGGCCACCTCCAAGTCTTGGAGCTTGGCTACAGGCCCTGCCAGGCACGGCGCGCAGCTGCCATCTCACAGTCATGCAGTCGCTGCCTCCTCGTCGCGTCGCGCAGCCGCCTCGGGCTACTGCTTCCGATGAACTCCACACGCCGACGAACAACTATTCTCCCAAGCAGCAAGGAAATATTACACTGAAAGCACATGTTTCAAGCATATGTTTCAGTTATTTTTGGTATTTCAAAGGAATGTTACAAGTGTTTCATATGGATATTACAAAATTAGATCCGGACGATATTGCATATGTTGCGGTGGCTATACACGTATGTTGCAAGCGTCTGTTTCAAATGTTTCATCTGTTTTTCAAGCGTATGTTGCATGTGTTTTATCTGGATGTTGCATATGTCTCACACTATGTTGCAAGTCTTTTATCTGGATGTTGCATATGTTTGCAATGGCTTTCAAGATTTTTTAGGTGTTTTGCAAGTGTTTCAGACGTATGTTGTAAGTGTTTCAACTGTTTCGGTCATATGTTACAAGTGTTCCATGTGGATATTACAAAAGTAGATCTGGTGTTGCACATGTTGCAATATGACCCACCTACCACACCCACCTGTAGCAGCTGCTGGGGCACCGTGCATGGATGTGGGAAGCGATGGGATGGAGCACTGCACGGCGGCGTATGCGGTAAGCGATTGAATGGTGGCAGGGGTGTAGGCATTCGCAGCGTGCGCGCGGGAAGCAGGGGGAGCGGGGCAGCATGCATGGAGGGGTTCGGGAAGCAGCAGGGAAGCGTGGGGAGTGGCGGGGAGGGGAGTGGCACAAGAAGCAGGGAAGTGCGGGTAGCGGCTCGGGCGGTCCCCGCCGGTGCCAGTAGCAGGCGCGGGCGTCCGTCAGGACGTCCAGACGCTAATACTTTTTTACGTATTATATGTATAAACACGCTAGCAGTGAACCGTAATTCTCACCCAGAGTATCTTCAAGAGTTCCCAAAACAATATCCCAATCTATAACTTTTGGCAAGACTGAAAATGCATCTCCAACAACTCCCAATCCCACCTTCCAATCTTTTGGCACTTAGAAAAATCTACCTCGTCGTGAAAATAAATACTCGCGCGTATCCATCACGCCAATCTAAGGTGGAAGGATGTGGAAAAGAATAAGAAGTAGGACATGGGTTCCTGATACAAATGTACAAGAGAGAAAGAAAGTATAAAACCGGTTGGGGTGATTTAGAAACAGTTCGGAATTACTGATGTAAAATTCCCTTATATCTTTTAAGGGGTGATTTTTTGGAAATTGTCGGTGAAATCTTTATTTGGTTCTCCCAATACTTTTTGACCACTTAGAAAACTCAATGGTTTTGGGAAGAAATTTTTTAGTACTCTTGGAGATGCTCTTACATATACGAAAATGTGCTCATGTAGTTGCTATTATACTCCCTTTGTTCCAAGTGATAAGTTGCTTTGACTTTTTTGATGCATCGAATTTGTTATATATCTAGACATAATGTTATATGTATCAAAAAAGTCAAAGCGACGTATAATTTGAAACGGAGGGAGAACAAAGTAAAAGCCTAATGCCCTTATCATTTGAGACTAACGTATCCATTAATTACGTACTTAGAAGTATCTAAGTTGCATGCTTGACTTGCTTCTTGAAGTTTTGGATTGATTGCTTTAGCCTTTCTAAGTATAAAATTTATTTTCTCTACCATTTATATGATTTCGATTCTCTAATCAGTGGTGGTTTAATTAGAGTCCGCCTTTTATAAAAACACTAGAAGAAAAATATTTTTAGAGTGGGCCAGATGAGATTTCAAGTGGTGGGCGACGCCCCTGCCTCTGGTTAAATGTCATTGTCAATCTAGATTTCCAAAGGCGATTATAATAATCGTCTCTAAAATAGATTTAATAAATGAACAAAAGAACACAAACCCGTTGGTGATCCCATTGCTAAGCCGGCTCCAAATTAAAGCCCATCCCCGACACCGAGCATGCTGTTGTGCGCCGTCTTCATTACTACATGCACCCCTTCGACTGCCACCAGGTGGACATGTTGTCAAGCCCGTCGTAGACCCGTTATATGGCCACCGAGCCTGTCTTGGACCTGCCGTGGCTGCTGAGCCCGCCATGGATGCCAAGCTGGCCAAGATCTACATGAGGGAGAGAGGGCGAGAGAGATCGAGATTTTAGATCGATGAGGGGCTTACCTCGGTGGTGTGGACGTCTTCAGCCCAATGCCGTGTCCAGCAAGTTCTGCGAGAGAGACTACTCCGGTAGACCGCACCGAGAAGGTTAATTTGTACCAACAAATTGAAGAATGCAAGGAAGAGCTCTTAATAACACAATCTGAAGAAAGAATAGCTGATGTGTGATTAAGTACTTGAAGTTGAGGTCTCACAAACCGAGATGAGCTACCACCGTTCAATGACATATTAATCTAAAGCAAAACATAAAAGTCCCGTTCGGCTTGCTGAATCTTGGCTGAAACTGACTGAAAAATACTGTTCCGGCTGAATTGTTATGAGAGAAAAACATTGTTCTGGCTAAAAAAACAAGCCGAACAAACCGAATATAGGGTAATCCGAACGGAGCCAAACACTAACTTGGACGACGGTTAGTGAATATATATAAGGTCTTTGGGGCGTGCATACCCCATAGACACACCCCTAGGGGGCTCAAAGACAATACACGACCGGCCGCTAGACCAAAGATGATGAACATGATGACGCGTGTGGTTGCCTCATCCAACCATGCATCGCATGGTGTCCGTTTGTTGGAACTTGGAACTCAACAGCAGTCGTAGGCACGCCGAATAAAAGATTTTGATGTCTTTATCATCAAAGGCTTAATCGGTGTGAACTGTGAACCAAGCAAAGTCTTACATTGACCTTAGATAATGGTAAGTCAATAAAATATAAATTATCTCATCGTATGAATCGATCATAGCAAGTAATCAGGCATGGTAACCATCGCTAACAATTGCTGTGACACAATTATGGCACCATAACACTAGCATTAGTCATATCAATAAATCCATCTCCATGTCGTACGTGGCCATGTTGACGCCTTGACGGTCGACGACAGGGAGATCCTGGCCGTCGTTGCCGTCGGCTACAGCATCACTGTCATCGTCGGCTTCCCGGCCATGGTAATCTCCGGCACCTGCAAGATGCGCAAGGGGCAGCAGGAGGCCGCCAGCTGTTGCCGTGCACCGCCAAGGAGCAACGGCGTCGGCGAGGATAGGCCGCCGCCAACGGCAACAGATGCAGCGGCAGTGGGCATGGAGGAGGTGGAGATGGGCCGGGCAGCTGTGCAGGCGAGGCCGCTGCTCTGCAGGTATCTGAAGGCCGACGAGTGGCAGGACGCCACGTGCGCGGTGTGCCTGGCAGAGCTTGCCGACGGTGACGCCCTCAGGGTGCTGCCGCCATGCATGCACTACTTCCACGCCGCGTGCGTAGGCGACTGGATCCGCGTCCACGCCACCTGCCTCTTCTGCCGTGGTCCTGTCGCCGCCGCGCCCCTGGCGTGATGGACACAGCTTACTGGTAACAACTAGCTTAAAGTAACTCCAAGAGGAGACCGAAATCATTTTGTAAAGATAAATGGCTATTATTTTACAAAAAAGATGTCTCCAACATGCTCTCCGAATGCATTTCCATTTTTCTTATTCTTTTTTTGAGAAAGTGCTTAGCACGTGTTTCATTAAGAAGAAATTAAGGAGTTTACACAGAGCGATTATACAGGAACAATTTTGCTAAGCACCCTGCGCCATGGACACCGACATAGCTCCAAAGCCCGCCCCCAACCAGGCGATGGCTTCCTCGACAATCCGTTGAAATAGCAAAGACGCTGACAGTGACTTGGCTTGGAAAGTCCGACAGTTTTGCTCGCTCCCAAGAGACCAAAAGGACGATGGACGAGTCGAAACCTCGTTGGAAGTGACGCGGCACCTTCTGACGAGCCTGATGCCACCAATCACTAAGCACGGCATCTGAATTAATTTAGACGTCTCCAAATGCTCTCCATGGAAAAGATGTCTCCAACATTTTGTAAAGATAAATGTGGCTATTATTTGACGAAATTATTGCATATTGACCGTCCGATGCAGAACCATGGTACGGTATTGTTCATCAGTCCAAATGAAATTTCAAACTCTCCATGTCAAGTATCGTTGGAGACGGTTTTTCTACTTCCCGACGTTTAGGATAACCGGCTGTGCTAATAGCTCCATGGATGACCCATTTACCAAAAAGAAAAACAAACACACAACCCATCCATTAGTATTGATCTGTAGCT